GGGCACAACCGTTACATACTTGGCTGGGTATGTCAGCGGTACATTTACTACTGTTCTTACTACACAGTATTTTATTATTAATTAGTTTATTATTGCTACTGCTTCCTTAGTTTCCGCCATTGTAAGCGGTCATTTTTTTTGGCAAATATTACTGTTCCTAAAGCCCAAAGGGAATTTTCTACATTCCCCTAATCACTGCTGACGGCTACATCTTCTAGCTACCTATGCTAACCCCTTCATTCATCACATTACCGTTCACCGTTTCACATTTACCGTAACGTATCACATTACGAACATCACATTACCGTTCCTCTTTCATACGCGGATTTTTTTTTCACCCTATTTAGTAGAGCAGTAAGGGAAGCTGCCAGTGACAATGGGTCATTGTACTTTCCTGGCGTGGGGGTAAATGCTTTAAGCCAAAACGCTAATACACTCCGCGAACGCATTTAATACGCAGCTCACACACCCAAGCCTGAGCGTTAGGTTATAAACCGGCCAGAGACATCAACACAAACATAATCTTACATCCCACACCAGCTGGCAAGGAGACGGATTTATCGCCCGGACACACAAAAAGCTGTTTAAAATGAGTTCCACACGCAATAGATACACACGTAGATAGGCGCAGCTCTCGGTTACAACCTACACATGCGTGGCCGCATCCCTGCCCATAGTACGGCATCAACTTTTCAACGAATTAAAACAGCTTAGACACGGACACCTTAGCCGCATCACAAAACAGTAGTTTGGGTTAGCTGTCGGCGAAGAATACACATTACACATTAAGCAACCGTTGTTTTACACAGGCTACTAACCAGCTGCTTCTACACTGACCCACACACACATTTAGCGTCATCCATACGTCTGTCGTGCGGGTTAGCTGGCCCAACACATAATATCTTGATACACACATAGCGGGCCCGACACTTGCCCGGGGGTATCGGCTCAGGATGTCGGCCAGTCAAAATACACCATTTAGCCTAAAGTTATTTCTACACACGCTGCTTAAATAGTATTAATTACGGTAAAACGATCAACAGCATACGTCATACGTCATTTACCTCATGCCACCTACGGAAGCACCACGTGCCTGGATGGGCGGAAGGAGGGCCGTAAACACATCTCCACTCAGTACTCGCCATTGGTCATCTACTCTATCCCACTCCACAAACTGGACCACAGGACAATAATTCTACCCCTCTTACTATCCCCCTGTGTCAGCCAGTGATTAGTGAGAAACATATTAGGCGTAGAGGGTTTCACGCGGCTCCGTTTGACGAAGGGAGGTATAAGAGAGCTCGCACAGAAGAAACGCAGGCTCTCTGTACTCACCCCTCGTTGTTGTTACTTGTATGTGCGCATTCTGAAAAACTCTAGTCTTACCCTGTTGCTGATTTTGTTACTGATTTGTAAGTACTCAATAGTGAAACCGGCACGTTTGTAATCCACATCAGCTACTCGCATTTTATTTATCGCATTTCGTAAATTTTTAGCCAAGCAATTACACGGGCGCATATATAGCAGTCACCTATAGCGCACAGTTGTCTGCGCAACAGACAGTTACCCAGCGACTACAATTATACAACTCAACAAAGGATTTATTCCAGCCACACTCCAGCCTGCTTACGTAGTTAAGTGACCACGCAAGTACATGCGTTTTAGGAAATAATATAGCGGCCACCCTAAGCTATTTGCAGCCTAATATGTGGCAAAATGATACAATAATGTCACAATAATATATATATACATACACTCTCTCTCTTTCTCAATCTCTCTCTCACACACACACACGCGCGCACGCTCACCGGGACTACATAATTCTATGGGACGCTAGTGTCCAGAAGACACGTTCCGGGTTGTCTAGACGACAGCATGTCATGACGCCCGCACACCGCGGCGAGGAGACGAAGGTGGAACAATGACCGCTTCTCCTCGGCAGAAGATGTCGCGGGGGTCATCGCCTCGCCTGTGAGGCCGAGTGCGACCTTCACTTCGCCTGCCGATCCCCAACGCGCTTTGGTCCCACCTCTCCCTCTCTGTGCGCGACTGGCTGTCGGTGTGTGTGGTGTGTGTGTGCGTGTGTGTGCGTGCGCGTGCTCCCGTTGAGGACGAGTGGTCTGGATGGTGTATGTTATGAATGTGAGTATGGTATTGTTAGTATAACACTATATATTATATAACTGTTTCTACATACAAATTTCATTAGTCATTAAAACAACAGTGAGTTTCGAAATCTTACTAGTAAAATATCGATGACATTCGAATGTGCCCCACGAACTGAGCTGTAATTGGACAACTCCATTCACAAGCACGCCCATACACAGTGAGTGCCTACAGTATGTGCGCAGTCAAGGAAACACACCAAGTCAATCAGCCTCTTTGATTGTTTTGCCGATCAACAATTTGCAACAATACCCCACATATATTGTTTCCCAGATTTCTACGACGGCCGAGGATATTTACCCTGATACTAGAGAGGAATTCATGAAATAAAAAAATAAATTCCAATTAAAAGGAATTACATCGCTGCTTTATTAAATAGTTTAGCTGGCCACATTTACTGTTTAACAGCTGTAATCTTTGTATCGCGATCTAGATCATTGCATATCTAGAATGCGATCATACCTTGTGGCCGCTGCTGTTCGACAGCCTATGTATCGCTAAATCGTTTACCACCCCTCAATAATTTTATATTGGCATTCTAACAGCATGGCTTTTTGAAATCAGTTTGAATGTGTGTGTTTGTGAATTTTTGTTGTTATTGAACACGCATGAACATTTGTTTTCTTATAATTTTAACCTAATGTAATGTGTTGATGAGTGCAGTGTGGGGCGTGGGAGAGCTGCAGTGTGCGGAGCATGGGAGAGTGCAGTGCCGGCTCCGGGCGTGGCAGAAGGTGCAGTGTGATGCGTGGCAGAGTGCAGTGTGCGGGCGTTGCAGAGTGCAGTTACAGGGCGTGGTCCCAGAGAGCATGTGTTGTCGGCGTGGCAGAGGTGCAGTGTTGTCACACGCCGGGTGGGCAGGAGCTGCCCAGTGTGCAGAGCGTGGCAGGAATGCAGTGTGGAGCGTGGCAGAGGTGCATGTGCTGCCCTGGGCGTGGCAAGAGTTGGCAGGTGTGGGCGCGTGTGAAAAGAGGTGCAGTGTGTGGGCGCTGGCAGAGTGCCAGTGTGGGCGTGGCGGAGAGCAGTGCGGGGCGTGGTCGAGTGCCAGTGTGTGTTGGGGAGGGGCCATTGAGCTACGTAGCAACGTGTCGTTGGCGCAGTGAGCCTGCAAGTGGAGTGGGTGTCGTCACGCGAGTGAGGTCAGTGGTGGGTGCTCGATACCGAGCTTGAGGTTGCAAGTGTGTGTCGTCACGCAAGTGAGGTGCAAGTGGTGTGTGTCGTCACGCGAGTGAGGTGCAAGGTGCGTGTGCTGTTTCGCTCACGCGAGTGCAGGCAAGTGTTGGTGTGTGTCGTCACGGCGCAGTGAGGTGCCAAGTGGTGGGTTGTCGTTCACACGAGTACGAGTGAGGTGCAAGGTGGGTGTCGTCACACGAGTGAGGTGCAAGTGGTGGGTGTCGTCACGCGAGTAAGGTGCAAGTGGTGGGTGTCGTCACGCGAGTGAGGTGCGTGGCAGAGTGCAGTGGAGGGTGGGGGGCATTGAGCTACGTTGTAGGAGGGGCGTGGATGTAGTATTGGGCACCGTGGGCCCAGCAGCGCCATGGCGGGGTCGGGAAGGGGCACTCACTGTTGGGGTGGAGCTGTGGTGTGCGTGTGTGTGTAGGGGGGGGGCACATGGGGGAGGGGAGTTGTTCTCTAATCCAATTCTTCTAATTAAACGTCGTATTCACCATTCACGGAATTTTCCCGGTACGTAACCTTTGCGATGGGTGAGGGAATAATGCGTGTCATGTGACAGCAATAGGGTGATAGTTTCGCTCCTGCACATGAGGCGCGTTTGGACGAACAACAGTCTTGCCTTTTCATGCTGTCAGATATTGCATGGCAGATGCTTGCTTACTTGTGTGCGTTTTTAAATGTACATTGTGAACCTCCATATCTGAATGTGAGGGTTTCCACTGTACAGCAATAACCATTGTTAAGTAATTGCACTGCAGTGGCGTCAGGTTGAATGTAGCGTAACGTGTGACAAATACAGATTTCCACCGGCGATTCGTGTCGGTGGTATTGGTGCTGTCCGCATCCGAGGCTTGGTTCTCGCCGCCCCCGCGTGTACGGCGCGGCTAACCTGCGACAGTTGAACACCTAACACCTGGCAGCGGCTAACGTTCTCGTGCTTTCTCGCCGTCTAGAATCCGTGACTGCGGCGATGAGGTACTCATGGACATATCCGAGATGCTTTTTAATGAGCTTGCGTTGCTGAGGCTGATGAGAGACTTGGAGGAGCCGACATCAGGTTCCTTGACCCCCCGCGGCGGTCAGGTCCCCATTAAACAGGTGAAGCATGGGAAGATGGGTTAGCATTCTAATTTTATGCCCATTAAGAGTCACAGTGTTTTCCCGTTTCATCTGAAGGCTCAACAAAAAAGTGTCTTGATCTCTAAGAATTTAAAAAAATAATTTGTCATAATTAATGATGCGCAGAGAAGGGTATGAACTGAAGGAAACACATGTACCTGGTTATGGCACTCGTAACCTTTCGAAGTGGTGCAAGTTCAAGCAATACAGACTCGGCTATGCGTCAGAAATATGAAATCATCTCATTGTTGGCTAAAACAAGTCCGGTGGGCAAAATTCACAGTTACTATTGAGCATGGCGAGTAATCGCTGCCGACAAAAATATCAACGAAGGGGTTGTCCGACGATTTTACATCGTAATATTTCCTCTCTGCGGGTATTCATGTGGTAACTTCCTTCGCTCAATTATAATGTATCGCTGCTGCAGGAGGATGACATGGAAAGGCACAAGCGGCTTCCCAGCTCGTCATCCTCCTCGGACTATGTGCGGTATGAGGAGAGTTCGTCAGCGGCTGAGAGTAGCAGCAGCGGCAGCAGCAGCAGTGAGGAGAACGGGGGTGCAGAGTACGTGCTCAAGGAGGGCATACCTGAGGAGGAGGACAAGGATAAAGACCACTGCAGCGAGAAGCAGGAGGAAGACGACGACGACGTCAATGAGAATGAGGAGATGGAGAATCTAGGCAGGGTATGGCACATGTGATGTTCAGTTATTGGGTCAGCTATGTTTAGTTATTATATTAGTTGTGTTTGAGTTATTATATCAGCTATATTTAGTGATTATATCAATTTTGTTTAGTTATTAGGGCAAGGTCAGATGCAGTTAATAGAATGGCAAAAGTGTCTGTCAGTTCATTTATGTTTAGGCCTGGTATGACAGACCAAATGTGAAACCATTCGGTTTCATTTCAGGCCTACTGTATATAATAGGCCATTATGGAAAGAATAAATTAATCCTCACAGGGAGTGTAAAACTGATTTCTGGGCTCGAGTCGTGTGCAAGTTTGAGAGAGGAGGATGGATTTCTGTACAATGTAAATGAGCACAGTGCCATCATTTGGTCTCACTGTCAAAACTCAGCCTATCTAAATACCTTAAATGAAAAATGTACAATCTAGGAGCCCGTTGTCAGAAACAAACTTAGTCTTAACATTAGTCTTAACATTAACTTCGACTTGTAAACCGTTGACAGAAATATTGTAAAGTTACGAGAACGAAAAATCCTTGTAAATTTCTTTGTAATTAACATTAATTAACATGGACTTTACGGGTTTTCTGACAGCAGGCCCAATCATTGTTATGCCAGCTGGTACCTGTCTTCACATCTGTTGCATTTAAGTAGGGTCGTGTATGTTGTTGCATAACAACTCTACTTTTTGGGTCCAGCGAACCATTTGTGTAGAAGAGAAAGAATAGAAAGAGTGTTGTGTGAGTGTTCTGTGACATGTTAGTCTTACTATACATACATTTGGTGTTATAGTCCATGAGCCGGTAGGGTTGGTCGGTACCATCCGGGGGGAATAATGCTCATTGTGATTTTTGGCAAGGTATACAATCCTAAAGTTAGAAAATATGTGATAGCATTGCATCGGTGGTAGCTTTTTGTGTGTTATCACCCTGTTTATATATGCCAGGGATACTGTCAGGGTTACGGACAATTCTCAAACGGTATCTCTTAGTCAGGTCCCTTAGCTTCATGATCGAAATCTAGATACATATATAAACACATGTCTTAGCTATAATCCCCGTGAATTTTGACTTTATTGAATAACGAATAGTTTAATTAATTTATTAAAAATAATAGCACGGTATCGCTTATAGGATAATATATATGACCCGTAGGATAGTGTACTAACTCTAATGTCTCCGCGAACGATTTGGAGTTACACGTCTAAATTCTTAGATACATATAAACACATCGTCTTAGCTATGGTCTCTTCGTAATTTTTGAGGTTTATTAAAGCACGAATAGTTTAATTAATTAAACCAAAAAATACGTCACTGCGGAAATCGGCTCATAGGACCTAATATATACGTACGTGCGGCTATGGCCTGTAGGATAGTGTACTAACTCTAATATCTCACGAACGATTTGAGTTACATTTTCAAAAATTCTAGATACATATAAACACATGTCTTAGCTATGGTCTCTGTGATTTATTGACGCACGATTAATCAATATATTAGCAAATATATGCGCGTGGAAGGGAATTACAGATGATTAAATGTTCGAACCACCCAACTCCGAACCCCCCTAGTGTTTATAGTGGTAGTGGGGTAGTGGTAGTGCTTATAGTGGTGGTGCTAGTGGGGTAGTGGTGTGGTGGTGGTGGTAGTGTTAATTAGTTTTTGGGTTGGTGTGCCCGTGGTTATAGTGGTGGTAGTAGTGACTCCTGATTATAGTGGTGGTGGTGGTGGTAGTGATTATAGTGGTGGTGGTAGTGGTTATAGTTGAGGTGGTGTGGTTATAGCGGTGGTGGTAGTGGTTATAGTTTGAGGGTGGTGTGGTGGTAGTCGACATGGTGGTGGTGTGGTGGTGGTAGTGGTTATAGTCGGTAGTGGTCGGTAAGTGGTGTGCGCTGGTGGTCGGTTATAGTGGTTATAGTTTGAGGTGTTGGTGGTGGTGCGTGCGTAGTGAGTTATATGGTGCGTTGGTGTGGTGCGTGGTGGTTGGCTGGTTATGGTTATAAGTGGTGGTGGTGTGGTTATAGCAGTAGTGGCTTATAGGGTGGTGTGGTGTGGGTGTAGTGTTTATAGTGGTGTGCGGGTGTGGTGTGTTGAGTGGTCGGTACGTGGTTATAGTGATGGTGGTAGTGGTTATAGCGGTAGTGGTATAGTGGTGGTGTGGTGGTGGTGGTAGTGTTTATAGTGGTAGTGGGGTAGTGGTGTGGTGGTGGTGGTAGTGGTTATAGTGGTGGGTGGTAGTGGTTATTAGCGGTAGTGGTTATAGTGGTGGTGTGGTGGTGGTGGTAGTGTTTATAGTGGTAGTGGGTGTGGTGTCGGTGGTTCGGTGTAGTGGTTATAGTTGTAGTGGGCCGCGTAGTGGTGGTGTGGTGGTGGTGGTGGTAGTGGTTATAGTTGAGGTAGTGTGGTCGTAGTGGTTATAGTGGTAGTGGGGTAGTGGTGTGGTGGTGGTGGTAGTGTTTATAGTGGTGGTGGTGTGGTGCGTGGCTAGTTGCGTTATACGGTGGTGGTTATAAGTGGGTGTGTGGTGTGGTCGCTAGGTGCGTTATAGTGGTGGTGCGTGTGGGTGTGGTGGTGGTAGTGGTTATAGCGGTAGTGGTTATAGTGGTGGTGTGGTGGTGGTGGTAGTGGTTATAGTTGAGGTGGTGTGGTCGTAGTGGTTATAGTGGTGGTGTGGTGGTGTGGTGGTGGTAGTGTTTATAGTGGTAGTGGGGTAGTGGTGTGGTGGTGGTGGTAGTGGTTATAGTTGAGGTGGTGTGGTCGTTAGTGCGTTATACGTGGTTGGGTGTGGTGGTGGTAGTGTTTATAGTAGTAGTGGGGTACGGTGGTGTGGTTGGTTGGGGTAGTGGCTTTATAGTGAGGTGGTGTTGGTTGGTGGCTGCGACATCGGTGGTGTGGTGGTAGTGTTTTATAGTAGTAGTGGGTAGTTGGGTCGTGTGACGTGGTGGTGGCTGGTAGAATGCGCTTACATGAGGTGTGTGGTCGTAGTGGTTATAGTGGTGGGTGGTGGTGTGGTGGTGTGTGTGGATGTGGTTTGGTGTCGGTGGTGTGTCGGTGTGGTGTGGTGTAGTGTTTTAGTGGTAGTGGGGGTAGTGGGCTTAGCGTGTGGTGGTTGGTGGTAGTGGTTATAGTTGAGGTTGGTGTTGGTGGTGGTGGACTATGGTGCGGGTCGGCTGGTATGT